TGTGTATATGCAGAAACTTTTCCTCCAACTTTTCCCCAAAGAAAGCAGTGTCCGGAGAATATGACTCTAAGCTTATGCAGAGTGTCCCTAATATGATGAGTTCTTTTCTCCTCAAAAAAGGGAACCGCAATTTATTTTAGGTAAGAAAGGGGGGAGAACTGTTTTCCTTGATCTATATTTTTGTTCTCAGTACAGGAGAGTGACATTCTAGTTGGTTGGCAACCTTATCAGTGAACTTGGTCCACAGGCAGCAGGCAGCTTTAGTGATTGCAGTAAAATAAAGTTTGAGTCCAGTGGCACCTTTAAGACCAACAAAGTTTTATTCAAGGTATTAGCAGTACAGTCTGTTGTGAAAGCAATACAACGAACTCTAGAAAGATGTGATGTGTAATGATAGCATAGGCTGGAAGTAGGTCAAGTACATATTAGGAGTATGACACAAATGTGGAAATAAAGTCTCACATACCTTATGTTACACAAAATCTGGTGTCCAAGGTCACACAATGTGGGCCAGAAAATGCAGCACACAGGTCTCCGTGGAGTCATTTCTACAATTAGGTAAAGGTAAAGGTTCCCTTGCTCGAAAGCCAGTCGAGTCCGACTCTAGGGTTGCGGTGCTCATCTCCGTTTCAAAGCCGAAGAGCCAGCGCTGTCCGAAGACGTTTCCATGGTCATGTGGCCGGCATGACTAAACACCAAGGCACACATAACGCTGTTACCTTCCCACCGAAGTGGTACCTATTTATCTACTTGCAATTTCTTGCTTTCAAACTACTAGGTTGGCAGGACATTTCTACAATTAGGTACCCTCAATTGTTCCCTCTAATCTATGGAGTCTTGTGAACAAAAATTCTGCTTCTCAGCTAACCATCTAGGTACCATTATCTGCCCCTCTGACTGCAGCTGACTTCTGCCCACCCTCCCTCCTGGAGATCAGTTGTAATTCTCCAACCCTCATCTGGAGATTGGCAACAATGATTCCCCAGGAGGGAATGGCTGGTGTGTGTGGGGGGGAGTTTATGGCATTGTACCTGCTAGAGGTCCCACCCCTCCTCAAACCTCACCCTCTCCAGGCTCCACCTATTAAATCTCCAGGAATTTCCCAACCTGGAATTGGCAACCCTATCTCCTTCGCAGCCAAGCATCAACTTGCCATTATCTGCCTTTCTGATTTCAGTTTTCCATCTCCTCCCCCGCCCGCCTGGAGATCAGTTGTAATCCTGAGTGATATACAGCCCTCACCTGGAGATTGGCAACAGTGGTTCCCCAGGAGGGAATGGCTGGTTGGGAGGGTGGAGTCTATGGCATTGTACCTGTCTAAGGTCCCACCCCCTCCTCAAACCTCACCCTCT